AGAAGGAAGATGATTTGAGGCGTTACATGGTGAGAGACCCCTTTTCACCCTTTGGGTGCGTGGTCTTGAGTACGCAATGCTGATTTTGAGTAGATGGAATTTGCGCAATGCCATGTTGATTGGGCCAAACGGAACAAGGTTGCATGGGAAGAAGCGAAAGCCGAAGTGAACAACATCACGATACAGGCCGAAGAGTATCAGAGAAGTGCTGAGGAGATGTAATGGTACGCAGTTATAATGGAGCGGTATAGCATAGTAACAGAGTGATCTGTTGGAGCCGTCTGATGAGACAGCACTTGGATTGATCTGGTTGTGGCGCGGGAACTCAGACATCACGCACTGTCAAGCCGACCTTCCAAGTTCTACATGCCTTGCTCAAGTTGTCCGCGAATGATTGAATAAGCATGGTCCGGTTAACATTCTTAACACCTTCCTTGACCAATGTGGAATCTACCCGCAGTCGGTGCCTCTGTAGAGCAACATGCACCGCACTCACTTCACCAGTATTCAACTACTACCGTTGATCGCATTCGATGGATGTTGGTCGTGATTTCACTCAATCAAGCATACAACATGCGGTACACCCTATACCTACCATAACCCTGGGCCGGCTCTGCATTCATTCAAGGCAGTCGTAAATTAAATCAACGCCATCTGTCCGATCGACAACGCGCAATGGCCATTTGCAGACCCGGTGGGAATTACGCGCCCAGAACATCACTTGACCAAAGGATTTCGCGTTCCCACCTGGGCGACAATATAAACAGCGTGGAGTCGATATTGAAAGTGTGGGGCGGACAGATTACATGGAACGACCGTCTGGGCCACCACGGAACAACTGTGCATGTTACCACCACCTCGAGGAGGGCTGTTTGTCCAGCCTGTGCCGCGCGATATGCGGTTAGCACGCCACGAGCAACCAGAAAGGACTTTGAAAACCGTGCCGCGGTGCGCCAACCGAGTTCTTGCACCGTTCTACCGTCTACGGGAAGAGCTGCTCCGTTGTGGCGTTTGTCAGGCTGAGTGGCTTGTCCACATGAGCGCGATGCAAGCTGTCAGCTCGACATGTTGAGATACGACAACTATGTCTTCGTTGTCGTGTACAGCAGTGATTCTGACAATGGGCTCCGATGGTGATCCTGCGTGTTGGGTCATGAGGATCCTGCGAGTCGATCCCCCGCAATGCAACGCGACAAGAGTTGCCCTAGGAGCGACGAGATATCGAGCAAGGGTTCACATTGTGTGCATCGTCTGACTGGATACATACACCCGATTCGCGTCACTTCCTCTCACGCGAAAGCCAAGATTTTGCTGATGCGCGGACAATAGTCTTTGCTGTGCCACTGTTCCCCTTGTAGGTAGCCTGGAGCTTGCTGATATCTCCATTACAGTCTTGGAGAAGGGGGGACGTTTCGCTCAATTGGACGATCATGAGATGCAAGGCCCTTCCTGCACGGTAATGGGAGGCGCACACATGGCACAACGAGAGCATGCGCTCTGTATCTAAGCGTATGAGCTAGAGTATCGACAGCAGTGCAGGCCTCACGAAACAGTGGCAGCATCACATACCAACTCCTGCATCTGTACCCAGACATGGGACGGAAACAGGTGAAGGCAGCTGCGCGGTCCAGCAACCATCCTGGTCACAAGCGAGCTCCAAGCCATCTACAGCTCCGTGCGGCCCTGCGTCCCGGGTAAAGTGTTGTACAGGGTGTGCAGTCCTTGGATCGTACCCCTGTCTCTCCGACGTACTATACACCGTGGTATCAGGCATAAGTACTCTACTATAGGTCTGATTATAGGGGTTGTGCGCCTAGCAAGCTAATCTACTGTAGTTATAATTTACGTGCTAGATAATCCTCTTATACGTAGGGGGTAGGGTTTTATTTATACCTATAGTAGGTGAAGAGGATAAATTGCAGATGTGCGTACTTGAATTTAGCATAGATTAGTATAAGGCTTAGGTTTCTTAGAGGTGGCAAGAGCAGCTTACAGTGGAGTACTTATGCTAGATACCACAGTAGATTAGTACAAGGCTCGGGTTTCTCGGAGGTGGCAGGAGTACCCCACACCATGGGCAGTGGAGTACTTTGGCCAGATACCACAGCACGGTTATACTCGATTGGCTTGAAGGAAGCCACCAACGGTATTACCTCACCCAGCGTATGGACGCCATGGACTAGGATGTCAGGAGCCGAGCCTTCAACTCGGTCGAGCCTGGGTGGCAGGATCACACCCGCAAGACCTGCAGCCACTTGTGTTGGCGCGTTCTGCAAATACACATAATCTGGTGCAGCCCACGTCCGTGGCGAACGTGTGGAGTCTCCTTGTCCTCGAATCTTTATCGGTCTCTCTGCAAGCTGATCATCTCGTACTTTGTTCCGCACCCTTGTTTCGGTCGCTACAAACTGTCGTCCATTGCCAAGCTTACTCTCCGTGGATTCTTGAGGTGAACAGTATCGTGTATGAGTGCTGGCTCAATATGCCAAAGGTGTTCAAGTATCTGAGGTCCGCTATTGCACCAAATGTCAACCAGGAAAGACCGCCAAGTCACATTGAACAAGTGAACAGCCCGCGCAAGGCATCATTCACATCTTCAGCAGAAGAGACCTGGCTACCAGACTTTGATCCACTCACAGTCTCTGCATTCGAGCTATCAGAACTATTGAATGCGAATGCAGTTAGCAGCGTTCAAATCGTGGAACTGTACCTTCGAGAGATTGAGCTTCACAATAGACGAGGTCGTCAATTGAGAGCACTCATATCGGTTGCGCCCAGACATGAGGTATTGAAGATTGCTAGGAGGCTTGATGATGAGCGGGCAAGAGGCAAGATTCGGGGGCCATTACATGGCATCCCGATTGTCTTGAAGGACAATATCATGACAGACGAAAGTTTGGGAATGGACACCACGGTTGGTACGTTGTTTTTGCCATCCTCGCAGGGTTCGAAATAAGACTCATTTCTTTGCGTAGGTTCATATGCATTTGTGGGTTGCATACCGAAGAGAAGCGCGACAATCGTGGAAAGATTACTCAAAAGAGGCATGATCATTATCGGGAAATCGAATTTGACGGAGTTTTGCGGGTTGAAGAACCCATCAATGCCTCCGGGGTGGTCAGCAGTAGGAGGACAGTGTCAATCACCGTACGTTTCGAGACATATTGCGAAGAGGAAGCTGCACTGGGAGCTATCAGCACCAGGAGGGTCATCAACTGGATCAGCTGTAGCTGTAGCATCTGGGTTTAGTACGCTTGCTATTGGAACGGACACCATAGGATCCCTTATCACACCGGCGAACCGCGCAGCTTTGTATGCGCTAAAACCAACCGCTGGCGAAGTGCCGATGGATGGCATATTCAACTTGAGCAAGACTTTTGACGCTGTAGGTGGTATGGTGAGTAGTACCGACTTTCATAATGGCCACAAGCTTATACCTAATCTGTTGCTAGGCCAAATCTGCCAAAGATCTAGTAGCCTTGATGGATGCCATGATGATGCCCACGAGCCGTGAGGAACACGCTAGAGCACCTCGCAGATCATTCAAGATCAAGCCTGATTTCGGGACCCTCAGAATCGGAATCTGCGAGCCGACGATCTGGAAGGCTTGGCGGAAGACTGGTCGGATCAATGCTGACGCTGAGAGATTCATGGTGAGTTGGATCTGATCCTGCTCACGTCAGCATCGTGGCTTGCATAGTCACTGCAGTTTCACTGCATGCCTGCCTCGTGCCGTGCCGGGATCTCTCGTTTCGTTGGGCATGCAATGCTGACATGATTCAGACCCAGAAATACGATATGATTGTGCAGAGCATGATTGAGATGGGTGTGGATGTGATGTATCCCGTGGAACTGCCCAATCAATCTAGCCTAACCGTTGACGGGAAGAATTGCTTTGAGCCTGTCGTGTGTCAGTGGTTCTTCATAATTGTTCAGCCTTACGCGTGCTAATCTATCAACCGTAGATTCAGAGTTCAAGGACAGCCTGACAGAGTTCATCCGCGACTTTAGGGTCACCAAGATGCACTCCCTCGCCGAGATTATCAACTTCAACCTCGAACACCCCGAACTTTGTCTCCCACCAAGTAAGTCCACGCGTCTGCAGCGCAACACATCAGCGCTGACCACACACAGCATGTCCCGATCAAAAGGACCTAATGGCGGCCCTACAAGCCAACACCAAGCGCGAAGAAATCAACGCCGCGCGCCAACACCTCCAAACCGCCGGCGGAGCCGAAGGCCTCGACTTCCTCTTCACCACGCAATGCCTCGACATCCTCGTCGCACCCGGCGACGCACCCCTCTCCTCCCTCGCCGCCGCAGCCGGCTACCCCACCGCCGCATGCCCCCTCTCTGCTCTGAAACTCAACGGCCAACCCTTTGGCATGACACTTGCCTCGCGCCCCCACACAGAACACACACTGCTGCACTTCCTCACCGCCTACGAGAACATCTTCCCGCCCCGCGCATTGCCCATGCCGTTGTCCTCTGTGCCACTGCAGGACCCGAACCCGGAGCCCTTGCCCGATCAGCCTATTATCGAGCTGATTTTGCACGAGTGGGATACCAGGAGGTTTAGTTGCTCGGCGGATGCGCTGGCGGATTGGCTGAATGCGAGGTGGCGGAAGAGTGGGTATGAGTTGAGTCCTGAGACGGTGTGTGAGGTGTTGAGGAGTAATGGGCGGATTGCGTTTAGGGGGTTGGGGGATGATGCTGCGGGGGCGTTTTCGAGATGATGGTGGGGTTTTTGGTTGTAGTTATGGATTTTTAGGAGGGTTTGTTTAGCGTGGTGTTCTGCATGTGGTTAGTGTTGTAGGTAGTTGAGTATAAAGGTTTATGTTCGGCGACATCGGCCGTTGGAGGGTGTGACTCATTGCGGGGTTCACGATTGGATCTCTGTTCACGATGTCACCACCACAACGGTGTCGTACTACAGAGCAAATGCATCAATAATATATTCTTTCTAGATGCCAAATCTTCCATCAAACAGAGATAACAACAGCTGAATGGCGCAGCGGAAGCGCGCCGGGCTCATACGATTACGTAATCGAAACCCGGAGGACGCAAGATCGAAACTTGCTTCAGCTATATTTTTTTTGTTTTGCCCAAGTTGTATGCGAAGAGCCATATTTTTTCCACCGCACACACCAATCCTGTTTCTCAGGCCCGCTAATAACTCGAGGACAAAACCACGTCCAATGTGATCTCATGCGGCCATCGTATTTGCCCTGTACGGGTATAGCGATTTATTGTTTCCCCCTAACATGCATGTAGCACTCTGGCTCACACAAAAGATACACGACAATGGCCAAATTTTATCGTGTTCTTATGTTAGCACAGACGTGCAGATGATTCGTATATCCTATCAATAGCTGCAATTACCTACGCTGGCACGCCAGCGTACTCGCGTAATTATTCTACCATGTTGTAACCTACTAAAGTTTATCTCGGTGCAGAATTTAGAAAGAAGTAATGTGTGGTACCTTAAGTAAGGCCAGATCAAGGTTCTTAATCCTATCAGAGGTTTTCCATACAAAAAAGGATTCAAGAAATAGTTCTAGGACTTGGCTTCTATGTTAATGATCTCTATCATAGTGTTTACCTTAGCAGAATGCTGAGAACATCAGCCTAAACAGGAGCTTCGGTCTGAAAACTGTTCAATTCCACAGATCTAAAATCTACTATAACGATGCTAACTCCTTTGTACTATAAGACTAACTCTTAAGAGAAGTTCTAGTAGCATTTCACTATTGTAGTTGGCTTGGGGTTCACCATAGTTTGTAAACTCCAACGGCTTAGCTATTTAGATTATAGCTCTAATTTTTGATAGTCTATAGTCATCGCTAAGGAAATCCACACTCTAAAGAATTCCCCTTGAGCTTGTACGTCCAGCATGGACCGAATTTTGCGGTGCCGTTCCGCTAACGACTTCTCCTTCTCTGCCTTCTTGTTACTGATATCATCTTAACCTCCGTTCCTCCAGCCGAACTAGAAACAACCGGTTCTGAGCGTTTTAGATCCAGACGGTGAAACGACCAGGGAAGAAACTGGTTCATGTACGGAGTCGATCTGTCGACCAAAAATAATGCTTAGTGTATAAACTCGCGTTCATGACTTGGTGGTATGGGTCCCAATGTTGATAGGTGCAAGTATTGCGCAGGATGATGGCGGCCAAGAAGTCGTCTGTCAAAACTCGAGGCTCCTCTGAATGCAAGCCGTAATTTGCAAATAGGAGCTCCCTCTGTATCGCAAAGCTCCTTTTGGCTTCCATGATAGCATTGCATCGCCATCGTACGAAGTCTTCCAGTTCAAGTGCATGATCGACCCCGTTTGGAGCTGCTGACGGATTGACGATTTAGCCGATGAATTCTTTTAGAAGTGACAGTCGACTTAGCGCTTTGAAGACCTTGCTGGGACTTATACCAGCCAAAAACCATCGTGCGACTAAGTGAACACCACTCGACTCTCGGCGTAGAACTAATAACGCATGAGCGTCTAGGCATCCTTCTAAAACAGCTGAGTCGGTTCAGAGAGCACTCTGATAGTCTTTATAGATCTAACTTTATACGAGAGCACTGCCTCTATTTCAACGAAATCTCACGGTTATTCACTAATATGATTTAATCAGAAAGGGTCGATGGGACTATAACAGTGTGGGCCAGGAACTTCAGGAACATCTCGCGAAGTAGCGCTATTAATTAGTTCTTGGATATCTGTCGGCTTCGGACAGGTGTGCGAGTCCTTCTCTTCATTCAAAAATTCTGCGACCATAATGCTAATCGCGTCATTGTCGTATATGTTTCTCTTACCACCGGGCACCTTGGTGTTGTGTTCGGCTTCCTGGCAGTTGTCTGCAACTCTCCTGGCGATATCAGCAATGATGTCAGCAAGTCGTGCAATATCATTGCCGAGGCCTTCATAGGCTGACATCCGTTCTGTTGAGGTTATTTGCGTGGCTGCGAGCTCATGAAGTTCATCACCTCGGAGAGACATGGCCTGCATCATCGCCTCCACTATCTTACATAGCACTTCCATCTCTTCTGCTGCGCGAAGACATAAGTTATCTGTCTCGTTGTTCTGGAAGATTGATTCTGTGGGTTGCTGTTTAGCACGGATGAACTATGCCACAGCCAGAAGATGCAATTCTTGTGCTACCTCCAGGTTGCATGATTGGATACGTTTCAACTCGGCTGCTAGTTGCAAGATGTTGAGATCGTGTTCTGTACTTCTGGATCAGAGTTTCTCGGGCGTCTGTTTCTGTATGCTGACTGTCTCATGCTGGCAGAGAAATTCAGCTTCGAGCTCTTCAATCATCGCTTTCAGCAGTTGAACGTCAGTTGCCAAGAGAATCTGTCGCGATTCGATGACTTCCCGCGCATCTTCGTATAGCTTGTTCGAGGCTCTGCATCAATGTAGCCGACATCTCTAGGTTGGTGCTGATACTTGTCTTGGAAGAGGCCAAATGCTGATAAAAGAGATAAGGGTATGAGGAGAATCAAGGATACCTATGGTACGTGCTTTCCGGAAGGAACGGGTGCTTGACGCTGTAGAGGATGCTGAGCGGAGGTGGAAAAAAGTGCGTTTAGCTACCATACCGCTAGGTACCTATGGGACGTATCGCTCATACACTCAAGATACTGGGATAATCGTCAGCAATGTGCACGTAACCTACCTAGTTAGCGTTTGATTAACATACTGTATGGTTAACACAAGCTACTTAATAAACGAAACTATACACCATGGTACCTATGGTAGCTTATATTAGGTAGGTTAAGAACGGTACAAGTAAGTGACAGCAGTGCTTAACACTATTATAGCAGACTGAGAAGGCATTGAAGCTGCCTATGTTTTCCAGATTCCACCGGTGTACCGTCGAGAGGGTACCATACCAACCATGGTAGCTAGTATGCACACCGTTTGCTTGCCAAGCCGCTAACAGACACTGTTATCTCTATCACTTCCAACATGTACGGTACCTGATATCGAGCATGACTGCAATGGCGACCAAGAGTGGCCGAACACGCTACCTATGCTTCTGGTTTCTGGCAGACTACTCTTGATCTACCGTGACGCGCCTTCGACATCGACTTTGAGACACATGACCACAAGCCGTGAGGTAGTGTCTAGGATATCAAAACTGGCGATACCTGCCCACGAAGCCTACAGATTGAAGCCGCCCTTATAAAGCTTCTAAGGTATCACAGGTGATTGCTGTGCCCAGGTGAGTCCCGCTGTGTTCTTATGCGATCAGATATCCAATTACTCGTCATTCAAGTGGTTGAATCCCGCTTCGGCAAACATGTTTGATGACAGCTTCATCTTAATTCGGATACTCATAATGGCTAGCTCATTGAGCAGTGCAATATTCGCTCTCTGCACGACGTCGTGCCATCCTCTCACTACCTAACTCTTGCATGCTAAACACTCCCCAGGGCGCATATATCGCAAACAACCTCGATCTTTGCTCTTCGAGCATACCTATTGAACCACTGCATTTCTCACGTTCAGTTCGATTGTACTACAACATTCGTTCTCGTATTCCGTGATTGCGAGAGTCGGCGGCATGGACGACATCCAGAAACCGTCGTTAACACTCAGATGGCGTAGCTCACGGCGGTACGTAATGGACCCGTGAACACAACGCATGCTAGGCAGTCTAGATTATTCAACAAATGAGCGCCAACAGCTCTAGAGAAATTCGGAGCAGCCTGGAGGTGTGAGGATAGGAGTGCTAAGTATGCTGATGGCATAACGACTATCAATCGGCATACAATCAGCTCATGCCAAATTTGCAAGGCGGGTTGGAAAAGACCACGTCCAGTCGTGATGGATATCGCGCTACCAGAAGACGCAAAACCCATCAGAGTTGCTTGGCCTAAAGGAACATTTTCCTTTCGAATCGAGCAAACAAGAAGAGGGAAGCTGAAGACAGAGAACAGAGGGCGTAAGCCGGTTCCGAAATTGGCGATGATAGATGAGAGATTATTGGGTCAGCGAGGATGGTGACACTGAGGATGAGGAGAAGACAGAGGGAGCCGAATCTGACATTGGCAAGGGCATCAAAAACGAACAGAGAACTTGCATCCTACATCGATGATGACATGCAAACCGAGTACATGCGGTAGTACCAGACGAACATGCTGATTTGCATGGTGGCAGGAAAGTTAAGTATACTTGGTGACAAGACCTGGTATGCTCAGCGGTCGTTCTTGACAACAGTCAATCATAGTAGTACCATTGTTAAGCTCATTCAACAAGCATAAATTTTGCTATACCTCTGGCTTTTTCGGTTGAGCAAGAGGCGAACTCCCGTCTGCTTCGCGTCGGTCAAGTATGAGTGTTCTTTTCCGGTCCGTGCCTGAAGGTCGTGCTATTGAATTTAGTCTCTTACGCTCCCTGGCGTTCTCTCCTGGTAGTATGTATCGGGTGTAGAAAGTGTGAAGATCTATTGATCTTGAGGAGCGAGCGGCTATATAAGCTTACCATTGGTAGGTACCATAGGTAGATTTGTTTGCTTGCTACCATCCGAATCGGGCGGTTAAACGGGGTTTCACTAGTGCCTACCCACCACTATGGGGCCTACTTCCTCTAACGTTAGGTCCCAAAACAACGTCCTTCGTGTACTAATTCGGAAATTGCAATAGAAAAGTCTGCAAAAGATTAGTACTGCAATTGTCTGGTGCAGTAGGTACGCTTTGTTTGTTTACATGCAGACCCAAGATAGTATGGTGGTAGATTGAACCATAGCTGCCCCCTTCGTACACAGTCCTTCTTCTCTCTTGTCCGCGCAGCGAAATCTGCTCCCCACTGCCTTGTGTACCATCGATCCCAATCTTCAATGCCTGTTGGATATATCAACAGCGGCACGTCTACAAATCCCTCATGCGGAAACTGGATATTCGGGCAATCCCCTTTTACCATACTCCCAAAATGCCATCTACAACTCTTAAACTCCACGGCCCTGGGGTCCAACGAAGTTCCGTGCCCGCGCCTGCGCCTGCAGCCACATCTATACACCATCCTGTCGACGACGACTTCAGCGACAGCCCCAGCGACATCGACACCACCTGCCCTACGATTGCCTCCCC